CAAGACGGCTAAGATGGCCCCAAGATGTCTCCAAGACGGCCCAAGATGCACCCAAGACGGCCTGAGATGACCTCAAGATGGCGCAAGACGGCCCAAGAGACCCCCAAGAAGCATCCAAAACTGCCCAAAAGGCGTCCAGGCGGTCTTCCAGGAGGGCACGAAGAGGCCAAAATAATGTATGTGCGCTCAAGACGGCGCAAGAGGCCCCCAAGATCGCCCAAGAGGCCTCCAAGGTGGCCCCATGACGGCCCAAAGGTCCCCAAGACGGCCCCAATAGGGCCCCAAAACGGCCCAAGAGGCCTCCAAGACGCCCAAGATGGCCTCTAAGAACCCCTGATATGCCCCAAGAGGGCCCCAAGACGACCCAGACAGGCCCCCAAGACTGCTTCCGACGGCGCCAGACAAGCCAGGAACGCCTCAAGACGGCCAAAGAGGCCCCCAAGAAGCCCCCAAAGGTCCCCAAAACCCTCCAAGAGGCCCCCAGGAAGCTCCCAGGAGGCCCCAAGAGTGCCCCAAGAGGCTCCCAAGAGGCCTCCTCCTCCTCCTCCTCCTCCTCCTCCTCCTCCTCTTCCTCCTCCTCTTCCCCTCGCCCCCGCGCGGCCCCCAGGGATGGCCCGAAGAGGCCTTCCAAGGCCACCCCCTTGCTCCCAGAGATATCTCAGTTCATCCTGGTTGCTCGCTTTGTTTCCCTAGATGTGTCCCTTCGTCCCTTTTCCCGTCAGCTCTCGTGGGCAGGGCTTCTGAATGGGCTGGTGGGGATACTTTTTTAGTCAACGGCCGCGGGCGGAAGCGCCGGCGGCGTGTCAAGTCGAAGCGGGTACGCGCCACAGACTAATTAACAGCAGAAAACTGGGGCACAGTACTGGCTGGTGGGGACACGCGAAGCGTGAAGGATAAGTGTACGTTGTACCTGCGGCGTGAAGGAGGTATTACTTCCAACGACCCCGACGTATACTGCTGTGCGGGATGATGGGCTGAACGCACTTGGAATTGAAGCCGCGACTGTAAGGAAATCGGCGACAACAGCTGGCCAATCCCCCGCTCGTGAAATGACCGCTGCCAATAGCATGCGTAAAATCGCACTGCCGAGGTCAAGGAATGAAAGATGCATTATGTCCCAACCCTGGTCAAGGAAATGGAGCGGAAGCGCGGTCAGCCAGTAGCTGTGGCGGCACCAATCGAGGATCGGAAGCACCACAAGCAGGACGACCTGCTCATACAGACTGATGCGCTCAACCATAATCTAAAAAGTAGCGTGTACAAACCAACCGCCGTGCTATGTGCAACCACTTGCTTGAGCCAAAAGCCAAAACGGCTACGGAAGGCGTATCAGGACCATATTGGACCGGTATTGAGGCTGCCTTGGCGTATCTGATAAGGTGCTGTACCCTCTTGTCGTGTCTTGGCTGATCTGTCTTGCCTTCTCTTGTCTGACCATCTGAGGCCGTCTTGCCGGCGTCTTGGGCCGTCCTGGAGTCGACCTGACGTCAAATCTGTGGCCGCCCGTCGACTGAAGGGATCCGCCCGGCTTGCTAAGGGAAATGACCCCTGGGATGGGCACCCAGACTTTTCGGCGCGTTGGAGGGTCCAAGATGGCCCAATATGGCTCCAAGATTGCCTCGTGTAGCTAAGATGACGTCCAATGTTGCACTGGATGTCCCAAGATCGCTCCAGATGAGCCCAAATGCATTCATATTGCCTCCAAGATGGTGCAGGATTGCCCAAGTTGGCCCCAGCACCCCCTCCAGGAGGCCCCAAGGCAACCCAAAAACTTCCCCAAGTGGCCGCGGAGTCCCCCCGTGAGACCCCCCCCCGAGGCAGAACAATTGTTTCAACAATTTCAGACGTCTCGCCCTGCCGCTTCCGATTGACGTCTGAGGCCTAAGGGGGGCCTCAGGAGGGACCCCGAGCCACAAGACGGCCCCAAGGAGCACAAGAGCGCCCCAAGAGGGCCCCGACAGGTGATTTGTCGGGCTCCGACGAGGCAACGCTCACTGGGTGGTATCCTGGATCGGCCCAGCAAGTGGGCCCCAAGAGAGGCCCAACAGGGCCCCGAGGAAGCCCCGAGGGCCTCCAAAATAGCCAACGTTCCACCTGGGCTCCCGAGGGGCTCCCATATCAAAGGATTCGCGAGGGCATCCATGGTTGACTCCTGGGTCTGCTCAGGATGATCCCTAGCTTCGAGGGTATGTGCGAAATCCTCGTCGACCGTGGTTCATTATCAAGGAATGATAAACCTAGGTTCATTACCTTCAGATGATACCCTGTGGTTTATTGTCCTGTGGATGGATCAAGCTGAGCCCACCCCCGGCTGAATCATTATTTTTCCGGAATAATCAACCGAAGATTAGTAGTCCAACATTGTGGACCACGGTTTATTCCAATCCGGTCATTACTCTCCAACACCCCCTTCCTGGCTGAATCATCATCATTCCAAAATAATTAAACCGGGGTCCATATTCCGGAAACATTACGAAACCAGGTTTATTATCTCCTGCAAATAATGAACCTGGATCAATATTCCAACATGGAAAACCTGGTGCGGCATCCGGGCGTTGGGGAGAAAATACACACATGACTATCACTCCGGAATTACAAAAACCAGGTTCAGTATTCCCGGGACATTATGCACCCTGGCCATTATTCCCAGAACATTATAAACCCAGGTTAACATCTTTTGGGGATCGGCAGGCCCGGAACATTATAAACCAGGGTTTATAACGTTCCGGGGGGAACATTATGAACCCCAATCAATATTGCCGGAACATTAAAACACAGGTTCATAATGTTCCGGGGGAGACATTATGAACCCTGGTCAATAATCCCGGAACATTATAAACCCAGGTGAATATCTATTTGGGATCCATCCTGCTAGCTTCTGCCCCCCTCCCCTCTTTTTCCACTGTTGCTTTCACACTTCCCTGATCAAGGCAGCTCGCCTGGGCGTCGTTACTCGGTGGGCCTGGTGGGGATGTGCGAAGCGTCATCAATTACTAAAAGGGCCGCCAGATAGAAGGTGGTAGAAGGCCGGTGCATCGTATGACTTGGCATGTCTGACTGTCGAGGCGAGGCCACAAAAGCACAGTTCAAGAACACCGAACCCCTTCGCCGAAAGCCCAGTGCCTAGGGCCCTGTGGCGATACTTCAAGCGAGGAGCATATTCCTGTGTGGAAAACCCCAGCGAGCAGATCAGAAGGGTACCCCCCCGAATATAGGGTTGTTCTTCGCCCACGTGCCCGCTGTCATGGCTCGTTTGACAAGCAAGCTCTTGCGTGCACCACAGCGCCTGTGTACACCACAGCGAATGTGCACACCGCAGCAGATATGTGCAACACAACGCATGTGAACACCACAATGCTTGCGAGCAACGCAGCGCCTGTGCACACCACGGCGCTTGTGTACACCACAGCATCCGCGTGCAACGCAGCGCTGGTGTACACCACCGTGCACGCGTGCACATGACAGGTAGAAGAAGCATGTCGGTGAGGACCTGCTGCGGACAGCTTAACGCCACGCAATGGCACCGCTGATGATAGAATGCGATGTTCTTCCCATCTCCTTCTCCTCCTCCTCCTCCTCCTACTCCTCCTCCTCCTCTTCCTCCTCACCCCCCGTCGTGCGGGTCGGCGCTAGAGCGCACGTGCACATCTCAGTGTGCACCGCAAAATGATTGATTGAATCAGTCCACTTGGTTCTCGGATGGCCAATTCTGCGGGAGCCTTCTGGACGCAGATGGGAGGAGTTAGGATGATGCGGGAGGCCTCGGGAGGACTCGTGGATTCCAGCGGCGTTCCTTCTTCCGTAAAGGTTCCTGTCCAAATCCTAAATAAAACGTACGCTTTCTGTGGAATCCACAGACGCTCCACTTTGTCATGCGGATTCTGGTGTTCTGTTGCACACGGCTGCTGTGGTGTACACGGGCGCCGTGGTGTACACTGGCGCTGTGGTGCACGCAGGCACTGGTGCTGTGTTGCACACGGCTGCTGTGGTGTACGAAGGCGTTGTGGTGTACACGAGCGCTGTGGTGCACGCAGACACTGTGGTGCACACTGGCGCTGTGTTGCACGCGGTTGCTGTGGTGTACATACACAGGCGCTGTGGTGCAGATCGCCACCTGCATGCTGCTGCTACCCGTCCTCGGTCATTTCTAGGCATTCCCACACGGCGCCGGCGCGAAACCTGATGTCATTGGCCTCTCACCCCCCCGCCCAAATGACGGCCGTCATCGCCCCGGAATGCGGAAAAAACAGGCTCCAAGACAGATCAACATAACGTCGGGACGGTGCGCAGCCAATGTGCGACGCAGGCGAGCCTCTGCGCCGTCTGGGCCCTCGCGAAAAAATGGAGGCCCATCACCCGCAGATTCCGCGGCACAGGCGAACCTTACCCCTGACCAAAGTCTGCCCAGTAACACTCCCTGCACCCCTTCCGCGACACATCCTGACCAGTTCTCTGGCGACGAGGATCTCCAGAAACGCCTCAGAAGCCTCCCAAACGAGTTGCCGTCGCCGTCGACGCCGCCGACACGCGGCGGAGGGGCCGAGCCGCCGCATCGTCGACGACGACGAAGACGACGGCGGGTACGTTCTGGCTAGAACCTCGCGGCGGATCCAGCGGAGGGCTGCGGCACCGCCGAATGGAGGCCCACCGACGCTCGGCCTCTCGACCCCCGACCCCCGACCGAAGGCGGCGGCGGCGACGGCCCACGGCGGCCGGCGGCGGCCGACGGCGGCGGTCCACGGGTCGACGGCGGCCGACGGCCGACGGCGGCGGACGGCGGCGGCGGCGCCAGGCCTACCCTCCTCCTCCTCCTCCTCCTCCTGCTCCTCCTCCTCCTCCTCCTCCTGTTCGTCCTCCTCCTGTTCGTCCTCCTCCTCCTCCTCCTCCTCCTCCTCCTTCTCCTCCTCGGCATCGTCGCCGCCATCGCCTCGCGGCGGCGGCGGCCTGCCCTCGGGCGCGGGCGGCGGCGCTCCGCGGCGGGCGGCGCCGGGGGCGGGGGCCTCCGGCAGCCCAGCGGGGCAGCAGCGCGCGGAGTCGGGCGAGAGGGCGCCGCTGCGCGGCGAGGCGGTGGACGGGGGCGCCTGGCGAGGGGGCCATGGCGCGGCGCGCACGCGGGGGGGGGACTACCTACAAGACCACCCCAACCCAGCCCGAAGACCCGAATTTCGGGCTGGGGGGGGTAAGGGTTCCGCATGTGTTTTCTCGACGTTTCCCGCCCCCCGCCCCCCACTGGAAGTCGAGGGTAAATCTGAGCCTTCGGGTTGGGTTGGGGTGGTTTGGTGGGTGGTGAGGGGGGGTACCACAGCCGGCCCGCAGCAGAGGAGGCTGCGCGAGCAGGATGCGAGAGAGCCTCGGAGGGCCGTGTCGACACTCTCCGAACGGGTGCGCGGCCAGCGAAGGCGGCCAGGGAGGGACCGAGGAGGCAAGGATGCAGGGATAGCCTTGGGAAGATGACCCGTCCTTGCTATCTGTAGGGACCGTGCGGGGGAGGAGGAGAGGGAGAGGAAGGCAGGACCCCGAGGAGGAGGAGGAGGAGGAGGAGGAGGAGGAGGAGGGGGACGAGGAGGAGGAGGAGGAGGAGGAGGAGGAGGAGGAGGAGAAGGAGGAGGAGGAGGAGGAGGAGGAGGAGGAGAGGATCCAGGATGCTCCTCGACGGCTCGCCGCCGAGGAAGCATGCACGCGCCCGAGTGGTGCCAATTTGGACGCCCGAACTGGGCACGGAAACAATGGGCACGGTGCCCAGCAGCAAATGTTGTCCCGAACCCACAGCGGCCGCTGTTGGGCAGTCGGCCTTGTCCCGAATGGACACGATCCGCGGCGACGCCGACAGCGAATCCTGTTCAAAATGAACAAGAACTGCTGTCAGTCTTTGTACCCATTCTTTCCGTGCCCATGTCAGTCGTCCCGAATGCTGCCCCGAACCAACAGCGGCCGCTGTTGGGCAGGCGGCCTTCTGTCTCGAATGGACACAGGCCGCGGCGGCGCGGACAGCGAAAATCCTGCTCAAGATGAACAGGACCTGCTGTCGGGCATGGTGCCCATTCTTTCGGTACCCGTTTCGGGCGTGCCGTTGCCAAGGCCCCGGGAGAGGCGGGGGGGGTCCGGGGGCCGGCTCCGGGCCCAGGTAGAGCTTGTTTTTTTTAGACTCTGGCAAGTTTACTTGCATGGACGGGGGGGGGGGGCTGAGCCTGAAGCAAGCCTGGGGGGTGGGGGGCGCGGAAATCACGCAAGTCGAAAGGCACTTGCACGCTAGTATTCGCTTGAAGAGGGGCGAGGGGGGGGGGGGGGGCGAACGCCATGCAAGTAAACTTGCCTGAATCCAAAAAAACAGGTACTATTATGGGGGGCACCGGGAGGGGCGGACTCCCGAGACGGCACGGGGGCCTCTCGGAGGGAGGGCGCTGTTTAGGTGTCCTGCGCCCTGCTCGGGGGGGGGGTCATAGAGGCCGAAGAAGAAGAACACGTGCCCAGATCCTGCAAAAACCAAAAGAGGAGAACCAGTGATTTGGGCCTCTTGGGGCCCTCCTGGTTGGCGTCCTGCACGCCTCTTGGGCGGTTGGAGGCCTGGGCGCCTCCTGGGCCCTCCCTCTTCGACCGTCTTGGCGGCGTCTTGGGCGGACCTGGCGGCATCTTGGACCCCCCTGGGCCGTCGTGAGCCTTTTGTTTTAGGGGAATCATAGAGGGTCTGAGAGCGTAAAGCCCGCTGCGCAGCGCGTCGCTGGGACCTCTTGCTGTCGCTGGGCCGCTCTTGCTCAGACAAGAGCCGAGCTTGTTCGTCCGGGGCGCGCGCGCCGATTGGGGCCTCGCGCACCTCGGCTGGCGAGAAGCTGGCTGTCTCGCTGAGCGTCGGGGCTTCTCGACACTTGGCCGAAGGGTGGGGTGGGGTGGGGTGGGGTGGGGTTGCAGCCGACCCACATCATTGAAGGGGCCCTGGGACACACAAAGAAATACACACAAACAACGGGATTCCTCATATTTTGTCCCATGTGTTCTGATTTTCGTCATCCTCCCGATTCCCATAGTTTGTCCATATTTTCTGAGGGGTCGACGATTAATTGAGTCTGTGTGTTTGCTCCCTCTTGAACCATGAGGACGCACGATGCGGACGCAAGGGCCCTGGAGGGCCATTTCGAAGCTCTTCGAGCGAGGCGCGGCCAATGAAAGAGGCCAAGCATATGGGCCGAGGAGGCAAGGATGCAAGGGTACCATCGGAAACATTGTCCATCCTTACCGTGCGGGTTGACTGTATTCGGGGTTTCCCGACATTTGGCCGAAGGGTGGGGTGGGTTGGGGGTGTGGGGCTGGGCTGGTGCTTTGTCGATCTACTGTTGCAAGTCGCGCAAGCAGGCTGGGGCGCGGGGCCCTGGCCAGTCGCCAGGAGCAGCCGCCAAGCAAGCAGCCGCGCAACGCAGCCAAGATCTGCGCCGATCGGCGAAACGACGAATAGAACAACGGAGACAACGGGATCGGGCGCTTCGAAGCAGGCCTCTCGGAGGGCAG